CTATTCTATTCTATTCTATTCTATTCTATTCTATTCTATTCTATTCTGCTCCGCTCCGCTCCGCTCCGCTCCGCTCCACTCCACTCCATTCCATTCCATGCTCTATTCTATTCTATTTTCTGTTCTGTTCCATTCCATTCCCTCTCCATAGTCCTCCAATTGCCAGAACCCCCCGGTTCCAACAACGAGGTTCAAGCCAACCCACGAAGCACAAGGGCAAGATGCCCTGCTTGCAAAACCCCAACCCGCAAAACGTAGTTCAAGACGTAGAATAAAAAATTCTGGAACAACTTTCTTCTCTACGCCACCCATGCGGCAAACTCACAGGAGTCATATCTCTCGCCATGTACACGTGTACATCCGGGTTGGACTGGAGGACCTCCAAGGTCCCTTCCCACTCTATTCCGATTGATTGAAATTATTAACTGTGCCTCTCCCGGGTGCCTCTTCAATGGAGACGTGTAGTGTTTTACACAGAGAATGACCTGAGCCTCTTCTCCCTCCTCTCTCCTGTGTCTCTAGTCTGTTGTAGCTGACGGAACTGGCAGCCGAGTCGGACAGGAAGGAGGTTGGGGAGGAACATGGTCCAGTCCTGGAGGCTGAGAAAGGCTCAGAATGAAGGGCTCGGACAGCAGTGAGGTGGGGGAGTAGCTGGAGCTGGTCCCCAGCCTGCGCATGCGCAGAGCTGCCAAAAGGAAGGCACACTTAAGAACTCAGGGTTGACGTGGAAGTAAGGCCACAGATGGACAATGAAACAGGATTAAAAGAGGAGCAAAAGTGGAGGAGGCTTTTTCAGGAAACTATTCGTTGGTTCATTTGTTCCAGCCTCATGAAGATCTGTCTGTGTAACCAAGAGATTCTGTGCCCAGCCCTTCCTTGTCAACACTGAGTGTGGAAATATTTACTGGGCAGCTTTCCAAGATAGATAAGGTCTGAGCTATTAATTATATCTTTGCAACACTGTTTACCAGGCCGATGGCTGAATGTGAATGCAATAAATTCACATTCATTTAATAAAAGAGGTTTTGCCGGTACACAGAGTTGGCTTAGTGCTTTTTGGGGAAGCCGAGGACAGAACAGCGCCCTCTCTTACCCGCTGCCTTATTTTCCCCCCCCCCACCAGACCTACATCTTTGACTTAAGTGTCAACAAATACGAACCCATTTGCCACCAGCCGGTGGTAGCCAAGAAGCGGAACAAAATCACTCACGTCCAGTTCAACGCCATCTACCCCATCATCATCGTCGGGGATGACCGTGGCCACGTCACCTGCCTGAAGCTCTCTCCCAACCTCCGCAAGATGCCCAAGGTAAGTGGCTTTGTCAAGGGGGCCACACCTGCTCAGGTACTCTCCACTTGGGGGGAGTTTCCCGATGGCCCTCGTTGAGGTTGGCCATTCGTGGGCGATGTAACATGGTGCCCACTGTGGTACCTTGGTATTCAACTGCTTTGAAACTCATCGACTTTGGTACTCAATGCATTTCGATGGGAAAATTTGGTCCCAATACTCGTGGTTGGTTTGGTACTCGATACGCAAGCTAGAATTTGTCGGTGTTGGTGGTTGTTTTTGTGACTCGCTATCCTTTCCGGCCAAAACACGGAGTGGTGTGTTAGTCATGTGGGAGGTCTTGGCCTTTGCACATCCTTTTGCGTTCTTAGCTTAGCTTCTGTGGTCATTTTGTGTATTCTTGCGTGTTTTTTCCTCATTAATTCAGGTAAAGTGAAGCTTTTATTTCATTTACTCTTAAGTATTTATTAAAGCCGATTAGGGGAGTAAAATATACGAAGAATGCTTGGAGGAATTGGGGGTGTCTAGTTTAATGAAGAGAAGGATGAGGAGTGACATGGTGGCCGTCTTCTAATATCTAATGGGTTGCCCCAAAGAAGAGGGGGTCAAGCTATTTTCCAAAGCCCCTGAAGGCAGGACAGGACCAGGAGCAATGAATGGAAGCTAATGAAGGAGAGATCCAACCTAGAGTTAAGGAGAAATGTCCTAACAATGAGAAAAATTAATCAGTGGAAGAAGCTGGCCTCCAGAAGTTATGAATTCTCGAACACTGGAAGTTTTAAAGAAGAGGTCAGACAGCCAATCTCTTCAGAAGGGGGTTATGACTAGAAGACCTCCAAGGTCCCTTCCCAGCTCTGTTATTCTGTTACATCTCATGTAAAGTAATGATGTACAACTGTACCTTTTTACACATTTCCTTAAAAGTTTGCATTGTCTTTGGTTTGGGAACACACTAAATTTATTTACATTATTCGTTATGTGAAAAATGTGTTGGGTACTCATCATTTTTGGTACTCATTGCACCTTCTGGAATCAATTAACAACAAGTGTCAAGGTACCACCGTATTTTGCATTTTGAGCTTGTTAGAATTTGAGGTCCCAAGCTGAGCCGGAGTTGTGCAAGGCTGAATCAGAATGAAATCCACACACACTGTTTGAACAGGCAAAAGTTTATTCGAGAACGTAAAGACAACCCTGGAAGAGACCTCCAATTTAGGGATGGAGAGGCTGTTTGTACTTACAGGTTTCAGTGGTGCTTTTGTGAGGTGTGGCTACATGTGTGAATGTGCCCTCTGTAATGTTTAATTTCCGGAACGTGGAGCTTTGGTGCAAATGTTCTAATCTTACTTTGTTAAGTGTGTAGGTCTTTTCTCTTTGATGCATGCCAATGTGCTGGTTTCAGTTGCCACCTCTCTGTAGCTTTGCATTTTCCCTCTCTGCTATTACTGTATTTGCACAAGTTGATTAGTTAATTAATTACAAGAGGAGGAAGTGGATCAGTTTTCTTTGCAACACAGTTTCCTAGTTTGTTTACTGTGGGTCATGTTAATAATCGAAGCGAGGATCAGAGACAGCCCAGGACTAAATCTAATTTTGAATTAAAGTTCTTTCTTCCGTTATGAAAATGCATTCCACAAATCTTATTAAAATGGAAGTTGTTGATCTTATTTTGGCCCACCAACCTGAGAGCTTGAAACACAAGGAAACTGGCCATGGAAAGGAAAGTTCTACATTTAGGCAAGAAAAACCAAATGCACAGGTACAGTATAGGTCAGTGATGGCTAACCTATGACACGCGTGTCACTCGTGACACGCCGAGGCACTTTGACTGACACGCCTGTTGGTGTGGGGAAAACCTGCACATTTAGAGGCTGCCTGTGCTCTGCTCCAATCCCTGCTCCCTGCTTGTGGCGTGGAGGCGTGGTGTCACCGCTGCCGCGAGATCTTTGCAGCAGAGAACCAGTTTTAACCGCCATCAACTGAGGTTTGTCAGTTTCATTACCTCAGGAACGCTACAGGGGGAAAGGAGATCCATGAGGTTCACAGCCCTGTAAGGTGGCCTTCCGATCCCCACATCCTGCACCTGCAGCCCTGAGACCGGGGAGACGAGTTTCACAGCCCTGTGTGATCACCCCAGCCCAGTCCGTCATAAACCAAATTATTGATATTTCTTGAAGTGACACACGACCCGAGGAAGGCTACACTTTTTCCCCGATTTTCGACACACCAAGCTGAAAAGGTTAGCCATCACTGGTATAGGTAGTACCTTGCTCAGTAGTAGTAACTCTGAGAGGGATCTTGGAGCCCTAGTGGACAATCACTTAAATAGGAGCCAGCCGTGTGCTGCAGCCGCCAATAAAGCCAACACAGTTCTAGGCTGCATTTAAAGAGGGATAAAATCAAGACCATGTGATGTATTAATACCACTTTATAATGCCTTGGTAAGGCCGCACTTGGAATACTGCATCCAGTTTTGGTAGCCACGATGTAAACAAGATGTTGAGACTCTAAAAAAGAGTGCAGAGAAGAGCAACCAAGAGGATTAGGGGACTGGAGGCTAAAACAATTGCTGGAATTGGATACGTCTAGTTTGATGAAAGGAAGGACTAGGGGGGTCATGATAGCAAGGTTCCAATATCTCAGGGATTGCCACAGAATGGGGGGGGGGGTCAACCTGTTCTCCAAAGGACCGAGAAGTAATTAGCTTGGCAGGGCAGGAGCAGGAATTTCAGACTTGAAAGCCCAACAAAACTCACACAGTTGGGAAGACGCCAGGAACACAAATAAGCCACAACAAGACCAGATAAATTCACGTTTGCTCCCAAACAGCTTGCTATGCGCAGCTTCTTTTTTTAAACACTGTGTTCCCAGCTGCAGCTAATGAAGGGAATTAGGGCCCTTTTCTCCCCCGTAAGCCATGCAACCCACGTTGCTCCCTTCTCCGTTCCTGTGTGCCCTAGGATGAAGAGTGGGTGGGCCTGGGTCTTCCTCTGAACCCCCTCTCCCTTGCTCTACCTCTCCCCTGCTCTGCCCAGCCGGACTTTGCCCTTGACCAGTTTCCTCCACAGCCGACGGAGCCACATTCCCGCTTCCTGTCGGCTGTTCGGCTTCCTCCTCCGAGTCAGATTCCGACAGGGGCATGACAGAGCTTCTTTACCGGAAACAAATTCCTTGTGTGTGTAATCCCACTTGGCCAAATAAAATATCCAGTTCAGTTCAACACAACAACTGTGGTGGGAAAGGCCATAAAAATGGGTCAAAACTCACTTAACAGCTGCCTCTCTCGGCAATGGAAATGTTGGGCCCTAATGCAGTCGTAAGTCGAGGAGTATCTGCACTCCAAGCACCGGCATGCAAAACAAACGAACACGCATGATTTATACCCTTGGACTATTATTGACCTTATATTTTTTCCCTTCCAGAGTTTGAAAAGCAGTTTGCAATCAATAATGCATTTTAACATAAGGGAGGCCTTGAGCCTGTAAACAACTAGCTGGAAACGCTTGCTATTTTAGCTTAGCGTGGTTCTTGAAGTGAGATCATGTTTTGCATTTCTGGAAATGCGCGGCGCTCAGGGTTTCAGCGATGTTGCAAAGCCACATTTGAAGGCGATAAAGAAAAGGTTGTTATTATGCCAAGGGAGTTGAGGTGCAGCTGGGCTTTCTTCTGAGTCATCCAGACAGTCAAATCTCGCCCTTCCAATTTCACTCCAAGCTGGCCTGATAAAATGACCCAAATAATGGCATTCTAGGAAAGGATGGTGGATTTGGGGCAGAGGGGCAGGATGAACCCCTGTTTAATACAAGAGGAACAGATTAACAGAGTTGGAAGGGACCTTGTAGGTCACCTAGTCCAACCCCACGTCCAAGCAGGAGACCCTACACCAGAGGTGGTCTTCAGCCAGTTCTGACCAGTTCTGGAGAACCGGTAAAGGAAATTTTGAGTTGTTTGGAGAACCGGCCAATCCCACCTCTGACTGGCCCCGCCAACCCCGTCTATTCTCCGCCTCCCGAGTCCCAGCTGATCGGCTGGGTCTCCTTTGGTTGCCCTGCACGGGAGAACGGAGCTGGAAAGCAGGTTAGTGGGATGGGGAGGGAATGAGGATTTTGCAGTATCCTTCCCCTGGCATGCCCACCAAGCCATGCCCACTAAGCCATGCACACCAAGCCACGTCCACAGAACTGGTAGTAAAAGTTTTTTGAATCCCACCACTGCCCTACACCATTTCTGACCAATGGCCATCCAATCACTTCTTGAAAGCCTCCAGTGACGAAGCTCCCACCACTTCCGAAGGCGAGCTTAGAAGTGGGGCTGGACAGAATTACAGAATTGGAAGGGACCTTGGAGGTCTTCTAGTCCAATCCCTATACCACTCTGGACAAATGATGTCCAGTCCCTTCATGAAAACCTCCAGTGTTGGAACACCCATAACTTCTAGAAGGAAGCTGTTCCACTAACGAATTGTTCTCACCGTTAGGAAGTTTCTCCTAACTTGGATCTCTCTTTGATAAGTTTCCATCCGTTGCTTCTTGTCCTGCCTTCTGGTGCTTAGGAGAATAGGTTGACCTCCTCTTCTCTGGGGCAACCCCAGTATTTGAAAGGCTGCCACAAAGAAGACCGGGGTGGTGGTGGTGTCAACTTATACATCGCAATGTACTCCCTGTCAATGAATACTTCAGCTTCAACCATAACAACACAAGAGCACACAATAGATACAAACTCAAAGTAAACCGCACCAAACTTGATTGCAGGAAATACGACTTCAGCACCAGAGTGGTCAATGTCTGGAATCCTCTACCTGACTCTGTGGTTTCTTCCCCAAACCCCAAAAACTTTCACCTTAGACTGTCTACTGTTGACCTCACCCCTTTCCTAAGAGGTCTGTAGGGGGCGTGCATAAGCGCACCTCTGCCTACCACCTCTGTCTTAATGTTCCCTTTTTTTTGTATCCATTTCATGTATTCATAATCATGTTTATACTTGTTATCTAATACTTGCTTGACAAATAAATAAGCGGGCAC